CATTCCACGTTAAAGGTTTATATATCAGCCATCATTGCCCATCAACCAGATCACTGTAATTCAGCAAAACATTTATCTTACCCTACAGTTAAGAAGTTTCTTAAAGGACTCAACAACATTCGTCCACCACACCAACGTATCATTCCCCAGTGGTCACTGCAAATTGTTCTAAATGCGCTTACGTGCCCACCATTGGAATCAATGTGTTCTTCAGACATTAAACTGCTTTCTTTAAAAACATATTTCCTGGTGGCTATAACATCTGCCAAAAGAGCCAGCAAGCTTGCTGCCCTCCTCTCTGATCCACCTTTTATCCAATTTCATCCAGATAAAGTGACTTTAAAAATTTGATGTCTCCTTCTTACCTAAGATTGTATCAGAATTTCATCTTAATCAACCAATCATATTACCATATCTTTAAATCACCATCATCTCCTCTAGAGCACATGCTCCATATGCTCGACGTAAGATGTTCTTTGGCATTCTATATTGACAGAATTAAGACTTTCAGAAAAACTAACAGGCTTTTCATATCCTTTCATGGTCCTCACAAGGGAGGTCCAGCCTCATCGCAGTGCATTTCCAGATGGATAGTCCAGACCATATCTCTGGCTTATGAACTGTAAGGCAAATCACCTCTTGATCAACTGAAAGCACATTCCACCAGAGCACTGTCAACATCTACTGCCTTTCAGCGTGGAATTGAGATTCCTAACATCTGTCGTGCTGCAACATTGTATATCTCATCGACTTTTGTCAAGCACTACTGCCTATATGTGAGAGCACGCAATGATGCTGGATTTGGCAGAGCTTGTTGGCATCCTTCCCACCGTGACGTCCCACAATCCAGTAAGTGAAGCTAGCACCCATTTGTGTGCATTTACAGAGGCCATGAAGAAGAAAAAGAGGTTACCTACCTGTAACCATAGTTCTTCTAGTGGTCCTCTGTGAATTCACACATCCCACCCATCCTCCCCTCTGTCCGTCACGGGTTATATTAAATGATTCTTTTGCCTGGCCGACAAATTTTAGGAACTTAGGGGAATAGTGGGTGGCCAGAGCACGTCCTCCACGGCGGAACATCCCACTAAATTGCTACTTTTCACTCTAGAATCTTCTGAGAGGTTCAGCACAGGCGCAGAACAAACCATTTGTGTGAATTCACAGAGGACTACTAGAAGAACTAGTTGATCCAAGTGACCTTTCTAATTTCCATCACCACACAGAAAAGCAGTGAACTCGGTGTATTGTGGGCAGACAGCCCTCACTTTGTTTGGCATCAGGACAACGCTATCCTTTGCTCTGATGTTTCTTTGATACCTAAAGTTGCTTCCCTGTTTCGCATTTCCTGAGACATCAGTTTTCTTGACATCTTCCAGTCTTCTATCATGGACCTGGAATGATCCATGCATACATTGGGGGCTAGAAGTGCTATCCTTTCTAATTATGACATTGTGCAGAAAGGTTCCAAGCTATTCCTTGCTTTTGGGGTTTTCTGTATCTGCCCAATGAATATTGAATGGATGTTGAGGAGCTTTGCCCTCCAATTGTCTGCAGTGTTCCACTTCTTTTTGTTTCTGAAGAACCATTCCACTAGATCCATAGCCATTTTGATTGTGTTTCTTTGCTTGAACTCTGTCGAGCAGCTTCCTGGTCTCAGACATCATTGTGTTCTGCTCTGTTGTCTTGATGCTAGATTTTGAAATAATGTATCTTTGGGGAAAGCAGTTATTTTGGCTGTTTTTCAGTGATTGTATTTGGTTACCTGCCTGCCTTCATTTGGATTTGAAGGTATACTTGCTAGTCTGTGTGACACACAGAGCCCACAACAAAAAAGAACAGGTTGCTTGCCTGTAATGTTTGTTATTCCCGTAGTTATCTATATAGGCACATGACCCACTCTTCCTCCCTGGTCCAGCACTTTCAGTTAACTCCTTTTCTGTCGTAGTATTGCCCATTTTTGAAATGAGGGACAGCCTACTCAGATGTATATTATAGGGAGGAGGCATGGATCAACTGCTAAACCATTCCCCATCTAGAAGGTTTTGAACGACATGCAGACTCATATCTGTAAATGTACAGATGACAACTCATCAAACAGATGTTACAAATCCACAACCTACTTTTCTTAGATCATGTTTCATAAGCAGAAAACTGTAATTACATGGATTGTTCAAAAATACTGTAGGAAGTTGTAAGTAGCATTGGAAAACAGTTTCCTGTCTTCCATTTCTGCTGTGGGAATGTTGAAAGTAATATCTGAGAATGCGTAGTATGTGAGAGTACAGTGGTGCCTTGACTTATGAATGCCCCTACTTATGACCATTTCAAGTTACGACCAGCTCCGGCTGCAAAATTTTGCTTCTACTTGCGGCCGGAGCTTCCACTTATGAACAGAAAAAGACAGGGAAAAAAGGCAGGAAATTAAAATTTCCTACTATAGGTGGCGACGAGGCTGCTTCTTTGTAGCTCTTTCGCCCCAGCAGTTTGAGATCTTTGGAGGCTTGGGACTGGCTCCTTCTCCTTCTGAGTGTGTGTGTGTGTGCGTGTTTCCAGGGAGGCTTCAGGTTGCCTTGTAAGGTAAGGTGCTGTTTTTTGCTTTTTAAAAACTTTTTTGTTCCCCCCCATTTCCAATGGGTCTTGGGGGGTTTTGTTGCTTTTTGGATTCCCCCCCCCCATTTCCAATGGGCCTTGGGGAGTTTGTTTGCTTTTTGGAAGTTCCCCCCATTTCCAATCTTGCCCATTCTGCTTAATTGCTTTTTGCTTTCTCTTGTTTGTATTTGCAATGGGTCTTGCACAGTTGATTAGTTTTTCGTTTGTTTTCTTTGCGTTAGGTCTTCCACACTTGATTGCTTTTTGACTTCACTTGTTTGCATTAATTGCATTTCAGTGCATTCCAATGGGAAATGGTGCTTCAGCTTACAGCCATTTCAGTTTATGCCCATCTTCTTGAACTAATTAAGTTCGTAAGTTGAGGCATCACGGTACAACTTTATCAGTCCTGTAGAAAGATTTGTACTCAAATTGAAAAGTACTTCTATTTTGAATCACATTTCTCATCAGTAAAAGGGATTTAAATGTTTTCATATTTTTACATGCTCAACAGATGTAATGCATCCGTTTCTCTTCTAACTAACTTGCTTTTGTCATCCTTACCCTCCAAAACTTAATAAACCTCAGAGAAAGTGTTAACAATTGTCCTGCTGCAAATTACTTTATTTATTTTCCTTAGAAAAAATATTATTCATGCCCTTCTGAACGAAAATGATAATGTCACATAAGGTAGAATTTCTATGACATTTGGAACCTATGACTTTTGGCCTTTTATTTTGGATTTAGTTTTTGTAGTTTGACATAGGCCCATGAAAGCTTATGCCAGATAAAACTTATTAATCTTTAAGATGCCACAAGATTGTTGTTTTTGTTGCAGAAATTAAATGAGTACCTTGGAGCATTCTGTGTTTGCTACTGTTCAGACATAATACATAACTTTTTTTTTAGCATTATAAGGAAAAGCTTCAGCACAACTAAGGCTTATTTGCTGCATCCTTCCCTTTTCCCATCATCACGAGGAGGACATCAGAAACTGTTGGTAGTACCTAAGATTAGTAGCAATATAGCATGCCGTTGGATTGTTAAACTATGCTCAGTCTTAAATTAATTATGGATGAGAGAAACAAGTCAGATTAACAATTTGCCCACAACTTTTTTATTGGCAACCTGTGGTGAATAATCTAAAACTCCTGTGTCTTCTGGCAGTGAGATCAAGGCTCACTGTAGCATATTCTCGAAAGGCTAAATTGTAGTTTAGTGTTATGTTCAAACCAGCCTGTTCAGAAGTAGGATAAATGTTTGAGTGTTCCTCCACAGAAACACTTGTGTATTGCTGTTTTTTTTTCTGTTTTTATAAGCTTCATGTACATTTCTTTTGTGGGACAATAGGGTTTTTAAAGTGGGATTCCTACTTTGGGAAAAGACACAATGAAAAGTACTTTTCTTCTTTTTCTCTCTTTTTTAAAAATAGATAATTTGAAAATTACTGGGTTGGTGGCTCAGCAAACTATTCAGATACCTTCTCATTATTTGACTCAGAAGTGCACTGGTAACTTACATTTAGTGACTGCAATCTTGACTTGTTTAATCCATTAGTTGTGTTTGCCCTTTTTAAGTGAAGATCTTTGAAATTGTGTGTATTTCCTGTCACTTTTACTCTTCATTTGTCATTCTTCTGTACTTGGAAGTACGATCTTTGTCAATCTTTCCAGATACTATTGGAATGGAGCTGGGCTTGGGAACTTCTGCTTATCTGCATGACTTTTTCTGGTATCTTCTTTACCAAGTCTTAAAATTTCATGATAATGATTTTGTTGACCTTATTGTGAGTTTACATGTTGTGAAGAGCTACCCATGTGAGAAGATTTCTGAAGTGGCAGTACCTATATTTTGTGATGTGATGTAGCTGAAAGGTCAAGGACCTTTTAAATAGCAGGTGCGTTAGGTGAAAACAGGAAGGTTGAGTCTGTGCCAGGATGGGTTAAAATCAGTGGTTTTGTTTTAGATCAGATTGATTTAAATCACAATTTAAATCAAAAATTGATTTTTTAAAAAAATTTAAATAGTAGAAAATATTGATTTTTTTAAAAAAAATTAAGTCCTATTTTAAATTGTGATTTAAATCAATTTGATCAAATCCACCTGTGCTGAGAGACACCTGGCTTGTCCCATTTGAAAATAGGATGGTGCTCTGCATGAAATGTAGGCTTGTCTAGCAAGGAATTTCTTAAAGCTTCTTCAACCTCTTTGGCATCCGTGTTTTTACACTTTCTGTTTCATGTGTAATTGAACTCTTCTGTCTTCTTTGTATTGTTCAATAGTCTACAAGCTATTGGTAACCTTTGGACTTGTGGTCGCTATAACTATTTAAACCAGAAAACTCATTATTTTCCTTCAACAATATTGTTATCCGTTCTCAATCTTGTCTCATTTCCCGGCTCTCATAGGAATCCTTCAACTACTTTCTACAAAGTGTTCCATTCGAACAAGTTACGAGAATCAAAGAACCTCTGGGATAGGTATGAATACATAAGTATGAAAAGCATACATGCTAAGATATGCATGAACAGCTTTGCACTGTGCAGGTTTCTCGTCATAAAGAAAAATGACCACTTTAAAATTGTTTGTCTGTGTCCTCTGTTTACCTACTGTGACTTGACTGCTGTAGCTGCAGTCCAAAAAGCAGTGCAGTGGAATGATTGTTCTCTTGTCAGCCTCGTGGATTTAGCCCTATTCTTGCATCACCACTTTTTCTTTCTGTAGCTTGGATAGTGATAAATAAATGCGATGCTCACTAATGCTAGAATAGAAATACTGAACCTAGCTTTTGAAAGCTAGATGTTTTCAGAGTTATGACCAGTATTTTTCAAAACTCAAGGCATTTGAAATTGCAGAATTAAAACATCAAGGTTGGGTTGTTTGGCTTTAAATTGGAACAGTTGGGGCAAGTTTTAAAAGACTGTTTGGGCACAGCCATGCACTTGGCGAGAAACTGCAACAAATCCAACTTTGAGGATAAATATTTGTCAAAGTTGCATTACTAATTCAACTGCTGCAGTTTGGCTTTCTCACAATATTAATATTATAGTTTGAAATCCTGATGTTTTCTGGCTTACAGTGTTCTTGTCTGTTTTAGATTTTTCTGTTTATAGTTGAATGTTAAGCTCCATCATGCATTTGCTTTATTGAAGCAAATAACACTTGATGGCTTTCTTACATCTTGCTCAAGTCTTACTGTTGCCACTTCAAAATGGTCACATTCTGGTTTGCAGAAGTGCAGGATTTAAAATCAAAATAGTGGTCTGAAAATGCTATTAATTATAAAAGAACTCATACATGTTAAGAGTTCTCTGACATAACTTTTTAAAAATTATTTTTAGTTAATGTTTCCTTTTAGCTACCTCTTGTCCAGTTTTTAAAAATAAAATTTTGGAGGTAGATTTGGTAAGGGATAAGTACTTGTATCCATGCCAGAATGACAAGTTCAAGAACACCTTGACAGACATCTTGCATTGATTGTATGTGAGTTAATCAAGTGTTCGTCTTAGAGAGACATGGCAGACCTGTGAGCTTTTGGAGGGTGAGCTTTGTCTCCATCAGCTCCAGTCAGTATGGCCCAATGTTGGCAGTATTGAGAGTTGTAATTCAGCAAGATCTGAAGAATCAGCTTGGTCTTTGATATCTGAATATATTATAGAACAGTAGAGCCAAATGGGTTGCATCTGGTGTTACATTTCCAGTCATTCTGTGTTTTATGCAGAATGGCTGTATTCCAGCACCTTATTTGGTCCACAAAGATGTTGTCATGCATGAAAGATGTCCTGTTGGCTAAATCTGTCTTTGGAGCAGCACTGAGCAGAGCTCTTATTGGCACATAAAAATGAAGGGAATATAACATAATTTGTGTTGATTGTGCAGAGGCATGACTTGGAAAGGCACGACTGAGGCAGAGATTGAATGTGTGGGGAAATTGAGTGATGAATAAACCCTATAATTCTGGAGTTATGTGACTGCAGTCTGCCAAGGCAATATACTAAACCTATTTTATTATAGTCACAAGATTTAGTCCCATTTCTTTGAAGAAATTATGAATTTTTGTATATCTTTTGGTGTATTCTGTCAGGCTTTTCAATATAACACTTAAAACGGAAAAGACTGTGGTCATGGAAATAAAAGGAGGTCACTAACAACAATTAGGGAATTTAGACAGCTCTACTAGATGCTAAATTGCTAGGAAAGACGTGCTAGTCGAAGCAGGATATGAAGCACACTCATCTGCAGGGTACTCATTTCTAGCTTGTGGCAAGCTGATTCTGTTTTAGTGGCAGTGTGCTAAATGAGGGCTGGTTTAAAAGTCTGCTGTTTGCCTTGGTTGCTGAATGCAATGTTTAGCTCCTTGTTGTCCCATTGAACAACATGACACCTTTTGATCATATTTAGAAATTTAACCAGCTAGACTGCAGCACCGGCCAGTGCCTGCTGTAGTTGGTGAGGGAGAAGGCACAGCTTCCATGGGTGGGTGGGGTCAGGAATGGCAGGCAGACTGGGGGAAATTGGGTTATTCACAGGGGGACGCATGGACAAGCAAGTATTTACACAAATAGGAAAGCAGGCATTCACTCAGATACTGCTTCACCAGACATGACATTAATTTACTCCACAGCTCAGTTGGGGAGCAGAAAATTATACCTCAACTCAAAATCAGTACTTTTTATATTTGCTGCTGCTTTCTCTGCCTGATTTCAGAACTAACCAGTTGGTTTCTCTATTTATATTAGTGTTCTCATTTTCTCTCTCCCTAGCTTCCTTCACACTTACGTACTCACACTCATACTATTATACAGTGGGGAGATCAAAAGAAGGGAAACATACCCTGTTTTCCCGAAAAAAGACCTAGCCTGAAAATAAGCCCTTAGTATGATTTTTCAGGATGCTCGTAATATAAGCCCTACCCCAAAAAATAAGCCCCTGTTAAGTGAAACCCTGCCCTCCACCATTGTGCAGCATTGTGCAGCAACCAGAAGATGACATGACTGTAAAATAAAACATCCCCTGAAAATAAGCCCTAATGTGTTTTATTGTAGTTGAATGTTAAGCTCCATCATGCATTTGCTTTATTGAAGCAAATAACTTCATGTGGTTTTTTTGGAGCAAAAATTAATATAAGACCCTGTCTTATTTTTGGGGAAACACAGTAGTAGAACCTCGACCTTTGGTCTTCAGTTAAGGAGGCAAGGATGGCAGGACCAGCTGAGGGTCACCTATTCTAAGGTGGGAGGGTGCCTTGTTTTTCCTAATGGACCAGTCTATACTGCTCCCCCTCATATGTGTGTGTGTGTGTGCACGCACACGCGCGCGCGCACACACACACACATATACACTGCAGATTGTATCATCTTAGTTGGTTTTGTAAAGCTGTTTCTTGGCAGACAAAAAAGAAATCAGGTCATTGGTTTAACAAAATTGTTTCTTAGAAGACAAAAAGGTGATTGGTTACTCGCTTGCTCCAATCGTCTGTCTTTCCTTTCGGAACACAGGTGGGCAAAATGTGGCCTTTCAGAAGTTAGACTGCAACTCCTGTCAGCCATAGCCAGCGTAACTACTGGCAAGCGATGATGGGTGTTGCAAGCTAATGACATCTGGATAGTTCACATATTCCCCACATCTATTTCAGCAGGATGAAGTTCTAGCAGATATCTCAGTATCTCACAGTTTCCATGCTTTCCACTGCCCATAAAGCATAAATAAGAATTTAAAAAAAAAAAACAGGCAAATGGAGTGAAGCGAAGAAACTGAAAGATAGTATTTGTTTTGATATCAAAATATTTGATATTTCTCACAGGTTGGCCCAGTCTTAGTGGCAGTCGGCTAATAGAACCTTTATTTGAATGGATATTTTAGCATTCTTTTGGAAAGGTGTTTTACAGTAGCTGTAAATTTGATGCAGTTTCTGTGAAACTGGCACCAGACACATCATGGACTAGTTTTTATTTTTGAAAACACAGTCTAACATATGAAGCAGGACTTAAATGAATTAAGCTGTAGCATATAGCGTAATTTGCTTCTGTTGAACACCCAGATAGGTAGACTTATTTTAACATTTTAATAAGTTCTGTGTCAAAAATGTCACTCTTTGACATTTTTCTTTTTAAATGAGTATAGCATGCTCTTTTGTAACTTGCCATTTTCCTGGGAGTATTTTGAAGCCAACGAAAATTATAAGTAGTTACAAGAGACTGAATACTGCCCTGTAGAATACAGCAGGGTGACCTAGTATCTGAAGAGACATAGATGGTTATCTTTTATGACCATTTTAATATACTTGTAATATAGAGGTGTGTTTTTTGGGGGGTAAATCAAGTTAATCACTTACCACAGTTTCCTTTGGGAACCTTCTGTGTGTCTTCATGCTCCCCAATTTAACCTTGGTTGCTAGGTGCATTTATCTCAAGAGACTTTTGCTCTTAAGTAACTCAAAATAGGAGGTTGGGGAGGAGTATGGAATAGTTAATTTGAAATCAGACTTTTCAAATACTATTTCTAACAAGTCATATTTAAACATATTTATTTCTGTATATTAGTAATTCCTTAAAAATCATGGTGCTCAGTGAATGATCTGGGAGTATCTGCAGTTATAGTATTTGACTAGTGAGAGCAACAAGGTAAAAGTAATAAAAATGTAAAAAAAATTTTAAAGTATTTAAATCATAATGCATTTGTTGCTTCATTGGTTTACCAAAGTTCTGTTATAATATACTGTTACTTTGAAAATAATTTGTTATTTTGAAAATGATTTGTAACCACTTAAAATAGATTTATCAGTTTTGTGATTTCAGGATCTTATGTATAAGCTGTTCCTGCTGTAACTTGCAGCTGCAGAAGGAATGTTGAGCAAATTGTTCTACCAAAGTCCCTAGAATAGCCTACAAGTGATCCTATGCAAGTGGACGTTTATTCATACAGTAAACAGTCATAGCATTCACATTTTAGGTTTCTTGTGGATGTGCCATGGGAATAATTCCTGGCATGCTGCTCTTTGCATGTATTCTAAACATGATTTTCAGCTGAAATCAGTTACTAAGCAGCCTGGGCAAGGGTCAAGGGAGGAGGTGGTGGCACGAGAGCGGTCAAGCGCTTTGTTCCCCATATCCGGCATCACAGGCTGAAAGAGATCAAGTCTTGTCAGACAAGGTGGAGCACTGGACGTCTCTGCTCGATTTACTGTGTTCAAAAAAAGGAGAGAGCTCCCGGCGGATGGCTTCCACTTTAGATTTCAAAAATGCTGCAAATTGGTCAGGTGAAATACTAATAGGAGACCCATCACTTAGACCAACTCCGGATAGATTGCGAACTATACGGAAAAGTTCAGCCTGCTGATTTGAAGCTTCGCTCGACTGGCAGCCCTCACCTTAGTAAGATAGTGGTTAGTCGTGATCCTGACAGCTTTATGATTATAATCTGTCAGGTTCCGTCTCCAAATGCACTCTAGCCTTCTCCTGTCATGCTTCATACCTTGCAG